CGAATAGGAAATTTTATATCCTATAGCCGATTTCGGTGGTTTGAACAAAAACCAGCTTCCTGTGGGAAAACTATAAACCTTTATTTAACTTTATTCAATCATATCGGCTTCAAGAGTACTTCCTTTTTAAGGTTATTTACGGATATAATATTTGGCTCTGTGTACTGTACAGTCTCTGACGCTCCATTACAGGTGTTACAAACATCAAGCGTTAAAAATCACAAAACGAGTGTCAAAAAGTTAATGACGGGCTTTTTCGACAGACAAAGAAAGTAGTATGAATTAAAGGCACACATCATAGAAAAAAAAAACCAGGACATTTTATCATCATAGAATCCCATACATAAAAAATAGATTATTTTCATGCTAATCTTAGCTTAATAACGAAAAGCAACGAACTCTTCTATTCTATTAGGTTATCAAAAAAGTCTTGCGGTATTTTCGCTAGTTGGCGCTGAGAGCGCGTAGTTCTAGTTTTATTCGTTGCATCGGGTCATGCTATATCTTTTTTGGAAAGCTCATTTCACGCGCTAACACGTGTTTGATTGATTGTCGTTTCTTTCAAGTCGTTCGTACTACTACGATAAAGGCAAAAATGCATCTCAAGCCACCAATAAAATTTGTGCAGCTTAAGGACCCAATACAGTTTGGACGACATGACCAACGTATCTTTAGAACAACGGCCGATTAATACAGCCTACATGATGAAACATCCCCAAATGGGTTGAGACTGATCGACTTCCCTGATGCCCGAAATATGGTTATCCGTGATACTAGATTCCAACATAGGCGCAATCGAAAAGCCACCAACCAGATGGATCATGTTGTGATAGACGGAAGATAGGTCTACAACGTTTTAGATATGTGTACGCTCCGAGGTCCTAGCATTGACCACTATTTTGTTGTAGCGAAGATACCCATCCTCCTCTATGCAGCAAAATACGCACATACCAACAAATAAAACTAACGGGACATACAGGTCCCATAAAACAATATGTTATCGAAATAATGTTTCTGTTCACGTAACGCATCGCACGCTACGTCCTATACTCAGTCGACATAATCGCCCAGGAGAGTCGATAATTCGAAGACCCGAATGTATTCATCATCATATATTAAAGGAAACTTTTGGTTTGCGCATTATCTCGCGTCGTGAGCATGTCGCGTGGTCTGCAGCAATATGTTTGTTGGAATTATGTCAAGTCGTATGTATATGCAAATAAATAGATAAGCCAGAGATGACTGACGTCTTGGGACAGAATATTTGGCAAGTTATTGCTGACATACCGACTCAATCGCTGCAAAAAGTGGTCGAAAGTTGGACCGCTCGTCGAAAGTTTTTTCGAATCCACGGAAGTGGATTTCATAAATAAAGTTGGTATAAAAGCCTGCTCTTACGGTAACTACGGTATTCCTTCCCTAGATAGAAACGGTCCTCTTTTTGCTTCGAGATCAAAACCAATGTATTTGGTGCTTCACATTTCGATTTATGCCACGCAGAACTGGAAGTTCTATTACAAGTAAACATACATACAGGTAACTATAGAAATAACTTTGTAAAAACTGTTGGATACTTGATTGTTGGTGCACCAATTCACCTGCCGCTCCAGCCTAGATGCGCACAAGTGATTTAGAAACTGGCTTAAACGTGCATAAAATTGTTAAATCAGCACACAACAACCACTTACAGACCAACTACATACAACAAATAACAAGAAACAACAAAAATATATAGTCGTCACAGCGATCACCAGCAACAACAATGACAATACAGAAATGTCATTACACGTCGTACTCACACTCATACTCATATTCGTACTCGTTTAACAGAAAAACGAAATAAAAATCAGTTTAATGACGGCAGCGTCAGCAATAAAGCAATCACAAATACAACAAACTATAAAAAAATACGAGTAATAAAGTTGACAACAAGTGGTCTTGTTGGCGTTAGCAAATAGCTACTTGAGCACTGAGCACAGCGGCGAGAGGGCCAGTGAAGTGCCGTAGACGCGCATGCGCAGAACCCATAATACGAAAACATTGCCAATTGACAATAAAATGACGGTAGTGATGCTGATGATAGTGATGGTGCTACTTTTGCTAGTGAAGCCAGGAGGTGGAGAAGCGATGTTGTGGCGGCTGATGAGAGCTAGCGGTGGCACAGCATAGCTGCAATCGCCTAGAAAGGTGCAAGTAGCAAGCAGGAGATTTATAACAAACGAGTGCATAAAAGTGGACTTTGGATAGCCAGTATGTGGATAGGTACACACATACAAAGAAACATAGATAAGCCACTTGCAATTTAAATGAAAAAGCATTTTAGCCATTGTAGAAATGTCCTGATATCGTCTGCGAAGCCGTCAACTTACTTTGTAAGAGTGGATAAAGTTGTTGAATGCGAAAAAATATTGGAATGAAGTTGGGGGTTTAGTGGATTTGTATTGAAGATCGAGTGTGGGAACAGGATTTTGAAACAGTTTCCTTTTTCCTTGAGTATTTATACTTTAGAACTTTTTCTAAACGAAAAATATGTATGTACAGTTGTGTTCTTTCAAAATATACATTAGGGTGGGTAAGAAATAAATATAAAACGAAATATTTTTTTACGTAGTTGGAAGCGAGATATAAATCTTTCTCTCTGATAAAACAAAAATATAAAAAGAATTGCATTAGGATTTATAAAAAATCCCTACTACACTAAAATCCCTATCCCTTTTTTTATTTTCTCAAGTAGTTGGAAGCGAGATATAAATATTTCTCACTGATAATAGAAAAATATAAAACTGCATTATTGTAGATAAAAAAACGCTAAAATTCAATTTTTTTTTCAAGTAGTTGAAAGCGATATTAATCTTTCTATCTGAAAATAAGAAAAAAAATCAAACCGTTAGGAGAAGGACTTTCCCGTTACAATTAAGAGCTTATACTTGGAATTGGAGAGTCTTTCTTAGAGGCGTTCATCAAACAATTTTTCAGAATAACAAGTGAAAAGAGCGCTAATTTTTTTGTCCTACCCTAACATGCATTAATGGATTCTATTTTATGATGTGTTTATGGCTTAAGCAATTTTAGCCTAATTCGCAATAACATTTCAAATATTTGCTTCTTACAAAGTTCTGGTCAATTATAAAGTTCACAGAGTCAGCGCCGAAATATATTATTTTTCTCACGTTATAACCCATCGGCCAATATATGCCATTGGCATCGGCCAATACCGAAGTGTTAAATTATTCAACAAAAAATTTACACACAGTGATCAAACTCTTTAAACACAGATAAAAACTTGTTATACCCCGAACAGTCTATATTAACTTTTCCTCAAAGTTTTAACATCCAAAAGAAAACGTTTTCACTTACATATCGGTGCGAAAATAAGCTTCGACCAAAGAGCCAATATTAAATTTTGTTTTAAAATTGGTAAAACTTTTACCGAAACGTCTCAATTGATCAACATGTGGGCCAATCAAAATCCGTGATCATCGGAAATTCCATCGAAAGTGTGTGTGAATTCATCAAAAATCAGCCGAATTTATCATGGAAACTCATGGCAAATGGAATTGAACATCTCCAAAATATCAATTTATTACATTTTGACCGAACATTTGCGCTTACGAGAGGTGCGTGCACGATTTGTTCCGCACAAATTGACTGACGACCAAAAATTGCTCTCATCGATGGACGCTTATGACCGATTATTCGACCAAAAATCACATTTTAACCATTAACCGTGCGACTTCTTCCTTTTCGGAAAAATGCATTTTCCCATGAAAGGAAACCGTTATGCAGACGAAGAGGCCATTCAAAATGCTTGCACCGGCGAGCTAATACACTAGTTCGTAAAGCTTTTGGACCTTGCAAAAAGCAGCACTGAAGCAGAAGCAGACTATTTTAATAAAATAATTTGATTTTGCCGAAAAAAACATTTGTTGTGTTTTTCTTTTAAATCCTGTTTACATTGGAACACAATTATTAGCGCGACGAGCTGAGTCAATTTAGACACGTCCGTCTGTATCAATATACGTGAACTAGTCCCACAGTCATTTGCCGAAAACGCCAATATCGGTCAACTATTTCGTGCCTTACGAACTGATAGATTAAAATCATGTCTTTGTAAAATCAGGGAGATCCCGAAATGTTATTCTCCAAGGCAAGGCCACAATCTCCGAACAAATTGTTCAGATCGGACCACTATAACATATGTATATGTATGTACATAGCAGCCATTCAAACTGATGGATACAATTCAAGATAATAATATTTTCATACCCTTTTATGACATATGAAATTCACCTGTAAAGGTTTTGTTCATCATTCTAAATTGGGTCATTGTCGAAAATTCTCAATACGGAATCAAGTCGACGCAGGCTGCATCGTCGGATGAAAACTCGACGTTACCGAGATTTTTCTTATCATAACCGATATTTGTTTAAGCAAGAATATATAAGAGAGAGAGAGAAAGCTGTGAAATTACCTGAACAAAATTCATTCACAAGAAAATTAAAATCGATCTTTAAATTTTAGTTTAATACTTGTAGCACATTTATTACAGACGCTGAACTAACAACAACAACACGTATTTGAACACGTAATGCCTTAACGAATTACATTTAATAATTGAAAAAAAAATAACAAGAATGCAACTTACCTTCAAATATGACGCCGCTTTAAGCCCGATGTATAGTTCCGTAGTTTATTAATTTTCAACACACAATTGTATTTATGTAGCTTATATAAATTATTATTATTATTTGAGTAAAAATTAATTTAATTCACTTTATGCTTTTGTTTCAATACAATTTTTTTTGTAATCACGCCAAAGCAAACTACTTAACACAACAAAACTACAAACTCTTACTATTTTGCACAAACACCAAATTTTTTTTTTTAATATAACACTAAAAACTGTTGTTTCTTTATTATTATTATTATTATTATTATTATTATTATTATTATTATTATTATTAAATTTAGCTTTAGACTAGCATTTCACTGCAACAAAATGAGTTTTCCAATTCGTTATTTTGTTTTTGTTACCCACTCGTATTAACTTTTAGTCGCTCGTGGGATTATCACTTGTTGTTGTTGCAAAAGTATCTTGTCATTTGTTAAAGCATTCCAGTGCACTAAAGCAGAAACGAAAAATACGCAGCGACACACACGAGCCGGTATTAACAACGCAACGGACACGATAAGATACTCGCGCTCTTTCGCTGGCTTGACTTGACTCGACTTGACTTGCCAGCGCTCCCACCGCCCCATGCAGTTTCAGCTTCGGAGCGTACAAATAACAGGCTCTTGTTTTGTTGACGAGCTGGTAGTATGTGTATTGTTGTTGCATTGACTAATTTAAAAACACAAATTCACCACATGCAAGTAATCAGCATGAAATGAGCGAATTTCGAAAATACCCCACACCAAAATTGAGAGTATTTATTCGCCACTGCAAGAGCACGTTGCTTTTGCTGCTGTCGACAACGGTTGTGTTGTTGGCTCTACCGCCTATCACCCACCAAACACCTCACCTTTCATACCACTGCGCTACTGTGTCCGCCAGCAGGCTCGCACGATTTTCCTCTTTTAACTTTTGCAACTCCAACTTTAACAACCTCAACTTTTGGAGCAGTTCTTGGCAAGTCTGTCCAATTCACGCACTTTTCACTTAAAACAAAAAAATACACAAATATTGAACTTTTTTTGGCGTTATTTCCACCTCCTTTGCACACGAAGCTTTGCGTGTTGACGAGAAGTGCGCGTTAATGAAAATCGTTCGAGTCGTGTTTATTTTTTATTTTTATTTTGTTTCTTTGTGTGTCCAACATATGCTCGCATACAAAAGCTCAACGCAAATTTAATAAATAGTTAAAGTAAATAACACTATAACACTTGTAATGCACAATTAATTAAGAACGCGGACGCGCAATGTGTACGATTACAATAAAACGAATTACCAAATGGCACAGTAATAACGAGTGCGAGATAGTCAAATTGATGACGATGACGACGACAACGACAACTACGTTGACCAAACCACTGCGTTTACAACCGCGAACGCGCTCACTTCGATTGTAACTGAAAAAACGAATTCACCTCGCTGCTCGCCAAATCGCTTATGAATCAAACGAGCGCCACACTATGGACGACTGGTCACCGCCCCCACCCTTCGCAACAAAGTAACGAGGAAGTATTTGCAAATAGCAAACAACTACGAAGTAGCAATTGCTGGATCACAGATTAGGTGGTGGGGTTCGGTAGTGCAGGTATTTATGTTTGCATGGATGCAGGTATGAGAGTCAGAGCCGAAATGTGCGCTCACAGTAAGCGTAGACTCCTCACCGATAGATTGTGTGTGTGTCAATTGGTGAGTATTGAGTTTATGAATCGGATTTAATATCCAACCAACTGGGCACTTTGTAGTAAACCACCATGCCTACTTTGTTTGGTTTAAGTACGGCTTTAATTTACAGTTGGCGTACGTCTAATTAGGTACACAAGTTTATAAAAATCGTAAATTTATTTGAGCTCGATGCCAATAAGACTAGTTGTGAAAGAATTCAGCGTAGCAAGGGTAAAAAAAGTAAACAAAGAACAGCTGTTTGGTGGTGATTGCCAGTGTAGAGTACCATCAAATAATGTAACTATTTTTAATTGCGTATATTCAAATATATACATATATTAGGTTATTCTAACTTATTCATTTACAAATGATTCGAGCTGAGACCCAAATGAGTCCAATTAAAAGAACGTATATTAAAATGTTATAATTTAATGCAGCATAGAGAGAATTAAAATGCTTTATGATTTGGTGATAACAAGACTGTTTTTCTTTTGACTTTATCTTAATAATATAATTACTAATTTATTTGTAAAACCAAAATTAATTAAATTTATTTTATATAGTATTATAATTTAATAAAAAGGTACATACATATATTCCATATCTCTGAAATATTACTTTTCCTCTTAAAAGCACCCTGTGTTTTTAACAGCTGCTTCTGAATTCAACGATCAGCTGGACGTTATCTATTGGACCTAGGCAAACACCGGTATGGAGCGACTCTCAAGATTGTTTTGGCCAGTGCTGGTGACACCAAAGAACGCCGTTTTAAAGAACGTCGACGCAATTTCACGTAGTCAAAAGGTAAATAGAAAGAACAACTCCAAGGGAGAGATTTAAAAACTAATCGCTTTGCAGTTGCTAACAGATTTGGGTTTGGTTAGACCAGCTTATAATGGCACTTACCAGCTGTTGCCATTGGCGCAACGTGTGATGGAAAAGTGTGCCGATTTGGTGCGTCGCCAGATGCGCGATGTAGGCGCACAACAAATCACATTGCCTGTTTTGACGCCGTCGGAGTTGTGGAAAAAATCCGGTCGCTTAGATGGTGATATAACCGAATTCTATTTAATAAAAGATCGGCATGGAAAACAGTTCCTGCTCAGTCCAGTATGTAATCAGTTTAATTTGAAGAGTTGTTTATTAACAAAACTTTTTAAAACTCATTAGACGCACGAGGAGGCGGTAACTGCAATGTTGGCAAGTATTGCACCTATTTCTTATAAGCAATTGCCTATTAGACTCTTTCAAATCGGACCGAAATTTCGCGATGAGTTGAAACCGCGCTTCGGTCTTATTAGAGCAAAAGAATTTGTTATGAAAGATCTGTATACATTTGACCGTGATGCGGCAACTGCTTTACATACGTACAATCAAATAAATTCTGCATATGATGCGCTTTTCCAGCAGCTGCAAGTGCCATTTGTTAAAGGTGCTTAAATAATTACTGAAAATATTGCAAAATTATTTTTTAAATATATATTAAATTTCAGTGGAAGCTGCTACCGGCATGATGGGTGGCAGTGTGTCACACGAGTATCACTACCTAGCCGCTAGTGGTGAAGATCAACTAATTACCTGCGATTCCTGCGGCTATGCAGCCAATATTGAAACTATAAATGTGGCAAGTAATGACAAACACTGCCAGCGTTGCAATTCAACTAATATGAGCAGCGTAACCGGCATAGAAGTGGGACACACTTTTATATTAAATGATAAATACTCCAAACCACTGAAGGCAACGTTTCTACAAGAGAATGGCAAACCTGAAAATCTTGTAATGGGCTGTTATGGCATAGGCGTCAGTCGATTGGTGGCAGCCGCAGTAGAGGTGCTCGCTACGGAGAGTGAATTGCGTTGGCCAACACTTCTAGCCCCTTTTGATGTTTGCATAATTGGTGCGAAAGAAGGTAGTAAAGAGGAGAAGGTAGCCAATAGCGTGGAAGCGGAGTTCTGTAGCAAGCTCAGTGGTATTTGTAATGATGAGGATGTGCTAATTGATGATCGTAGTAATTTTACGATAGGCAAAAGGCTATTGGAAGCGAAAAGGTAGTATCGTTCTATTTGTTATTTATGTAAAATTTTTAATAATTACATATGTAATGTAGAATGGGTTATCCCATCATTGTTGTAATTGGAAGCAAGGCAGCGAACGCAGTACCAATAATTGAACTGCATTTCATTTCGGGCGAAACAATGGATGTTGAGACAAACGAGGCACTGGCTTTAATCGCAAAATATACAAACCACAAGCGGGTGCTCTACAACACAAAATTGGTTTGTAAAATTAAGAATTTTATAATGTATATGTAATTACGGCAATTTTGATATTTACAGGATTATAGTGCACCAGCGAAATCTAATAAGGCGTCTATTAGTTGAGACTTAGCAATATTGAAAATTTAGATTTAATTTATGCATTCAGTTTTCTTCTCATTTGTAAACATTTTAAACTAAAACTTTTCCTTTAAATGTAAGCACACAATTAATAACTGTAAAATAAAATTGTAAAAGAAAAAACAATTTCTTATATTAATGCTAATTCAATATATTCTAAGTTTAATATTATTTTCAGCATTACTTATGCACATAAATAAATACAAATCATTTTTTTAACTTTAGTGTTTCGCTACAAAAGCGGCAAATTTGCCTTAAGCGCTGCAAACTCTTTGCGATCGAGCGCTTTGAGTTGTGTTCCTGTATAAGGGGAAAAATGCTCCAAGTCACGATGCTTGTTCACCAAAATTTTTTGATCCGAGGTGATTATATTAATTTCGCGTGCAATTTGCATTTGATCTAAGATTTTTAAATGAAATAAAGTTAAAGTCACTTCTAAACGCTTTTATCACTAAACAATTAGGTAATCACCATTTTTCAATAGCTTCAAAGCCTTTTCACGTTCCATTTTTACAAGCATGCTGCCCACCGTTATCCAAACTTTCTTCTCATATTTGGTTGCATGCTTTTCGAGCTCACGTATCGCTTCGCGTGTTTGCTGTCTTCGTTTATCCAGCTCTACCAACTCTTGCTTGTTCATTAAAATCTTATCGGCCACCTCTTCGGTTGATTTTATAATTTCAACAGTTTTTTCTTCATCGGTTTTAGACATTTTTCACTGATGATGAACTACGAATATATTTTATGTAAAACTTTATTTATCACCTAAATAATTTTACTAAGACGACAACTGCATCCAAACTTAAACTTGAAACATTAGCTCAACGCTTTCCGAAGTCGTCGTTCGCGTTTCCAATCGCGTAATTTTTCAGAGCGTATGTCACAGCGTGAACGCTTTCTACTTTTGGGCAAGTTACTCGATCGATTATGCATTACTGCTTGTTTATCGAACGCATCGAAATGTGTTACACGCGCCGGCTCCTGCTTGGTGCCGAGACCGGTGCGTTTCTTCCGGATCACTGTTTTAACTGGATACAATCGTCCCGCTTGAGTTGGGCCCAAGCCGCTTTCTTTGTCCCAGCCTTGTTTAACCATCAATTGCAAACCACGATTTTTGTTTGATATATTAAATTTGTTTAGCTTATTTTGTGCACCAATTGCTTTTGTACTAAATTGATGCACCGTTGACGTTTCATGTCGTAAGCGAGTCGTGTTTGTGAATGTATGTTCACAACTAGTACAATAGAAAGGCTCTATTGAAACGGTTGCAGAAGAAACTTTCTGGCTAGCGTGTTCTTCAATATCTTCAACGTTCTTCTGTAAAATTGTTGCAATGTGGTCGTAACCCTTTTCAATGGCGTAATCTCTTGCAGTGCGGCCAGTTTTTTCTTTAACATTTTTATTAGCGCCCAACTGTAATAAAAACCGCACAGCGTCTATTGCACCCTCGCATGCGGCCATCATAAGAGCAGTCCATCCAAAAGCATCGCACACATCAACATCGCACGCTTGGTAATTTATTCGCGCTAACTCTGTCACGTTATTTGTTGTAGCGAGACGAAAGAATTTATTACTATCGAACTTCAAGAAAGTAGGTTTCATTGAATTAAATGAACCGCTAACCATGGTTGGTGCAGTAGTTGGAACACTTGTTTTGGAATGTTTTGTGAGTTCCTCGTAAAATATTCTCACGTCTTCACCCCTTCCTTCACCGCATAGCTGAGCTTTAATTTCTTCCACTTTATTTTCTTCATTGCTCTGCAACTCCAGTCCACGCACAAAACGCTTCCGCGGAAAGGTAACTGTAGCTAGTGCCAGCCAGTTAGGATGCAGTTGCGCATCATCTAAATCCATAGCAAATTACCAAATAATATGCGTGCAGCAAGATAAATAGAAAAAATTGTATGCGATTTATTGACGTTGTGTGACAAATAGCGATGACAGTGCAGTGTTGTTAAGTGACTTCAATATGTTCACGTTTGTAATAATTAATAAAAATTAAATATGTTAAATATGTTAATTTAAAGCGAAATAAACCTAAATGTGTGTGTTATGAATATAGCAAATATTCGCAAAAATTTTATGATTTGTTAATAAATTTTACAAACCAAAATGTGTTTAATATAAAATCCTTAAATGAAATAATTTAATATTAAATTATGTTTACAACAAATTATCACGTTTCTCTTTTCAACCCTTTCTGTTTATATTTTTAATAACAATTTTTTATTCATTTATATTTTTAAATTGAATTATGTAATTGTGAACACACTGTAATTATTTGATTTGGTCTACGGTCTGTAGAGTTCTCTACATAAAGCTGAATTTTGTGAAACATTTTTGTCAAAATTATCGCGGTTTGAAAATTAAAAAAAAAAACAGCAGCTGAAGAACATAATAGCTTCAAAAACATTGTTTATAATTATTTTGTATTAATAAAAACGTTAAAATGGATTATTCAAAGTTTGGCAATATGATGGAGAAGAATCGCTTAAAAAGTTTTAAAAAGTGGCCGTTTGACGAAAGCAGTGCATGTAGCGCAAAAAAGGTAAAATTGATACAAAAATGAATATATCATTGCTTTTCATGCTCTGTTTTTTCAATTGTAGATGGCCGAAGCAGGCTTTTACTGGAGTGGTAACGATCGCGAACCGGATACAGTTACTTGCTATATTTGCAATAAAACTCTCGATGGGTGGGAGCGATCCGATGACCCATGGAAGGAGCATGCAAAGCATGCGCCACAATGCAGTTTCGTAAAGTGCGGACGAAAAGAGGCCGAATTGACGGTAGGTCATTTGTGTGTAGTAATATCTTAGTGCTGTAGTTATATAGTAAATGGTCTTTACTTTAAGGTTCAAGAATTCATCAATATATGTAATGTAGCGCTAAAGGCGCGTTTGGATCAAAATTTAAACAAAACTTTAGAAGAGTTCCGAAAGTATGCCGAAAAGGAGAAAGAGAAAATATTACTCGGCAAATAAATGGAAGCTAAATTAAGTATAATAGTTTAAGGATTATATATTAAGATTTAATAAAAATTAAAATATTCATAATATATGTTGTATACCTTACTTGTGTGTTAGTTGCAATAAATTATGCTAATTGTGCTAGTTGATAGATTTTTTTAGATCCTAAATAAGAATATTGCAGATGGTGAGCCCAATAAATGGTGCAACTTGGAGGGAAATGAAACGAGGCACGGTACCCCGAGAACGATTGCTCATATTACAAAAAAACACAGTACTAGCTTTGTTTTGAACAATATATGACTAAAGAACCCGATTAGTGCCAATAAGAGTCGGTTCCACCAGAAAACTTGGAATTTTATGTTCACTGCCCAAATATAGTCAATCTCACCAAACTGGCTGGGATTTATAGAATTTGGGTTCGTTGCAGAGTTTTTAATTATAAACTAAAGACGCATATCTTATTTAAATATTTAATTATTATCTAGTCAGTTTATCAAATTTTAAATGAAAAAGATTTGAATATTGCTGGCGGCTTTAATGAAAACATCATTGTATACTACCATAATATGCAACCGTGTTAAGGATTTAGAACTGCCACATTGAAATAAACTATTGAATTTATAACCTACCCAACCATTTCCAGTTGGTCAGTAAATCAATTCTAAATATTTTGTCTACTTTAATAAAAGCAACTAAGGTGCTCTGAAATCTATCCTTAAGCTTAGTATCCAGCTCTTAAGAAATGTAAAAACTTCATATAAAAACCGCTTAAGAAACGGTCAAGAAACTTTCCTGCGATAAATTTACTTGTGCTAGTATGCAGCTCTAAAGAAATGTAGTACTAGTTTTGAATACATTTTTGCAATAAAATGCGAATATGGCAAACCTGGTTTTGGGAAGAAATATGAAATCAACAATTGTTTCTTGAAGGAAATTCAAAGTAATCGTTAAATTTGTCCTAAATTAGTTAAATTCATTATTATGAAGTATATTTCTTTTTGATATGTTGTATAAAACTTACCAATCATCAACAACATTCCTAAAATCGCAATGAAAATATTTATGTTACTTCACACATACATGCATATTACGCACAAAGTTTAGTTTCTTTCGTTTATTCTCTCTTACTCTTCTATGGGGGAGCATTCACGATGCGTAACCAGCCGTCAAAATGACTTGAAGAAATAATGTATTTTTTTCTCGAACAATTATTTGAGAGCTGGATACCAACCTGTGAACTTTATAAAAAACAAACTAACAAAAGTACCAAATAAAATAACCGCGCACGTATTCAGTTATTGAGAATGGTGTATTTACCACCCGCTTGATTGACTGTGTACAGTGTTTTTTTTATATTTGCCAAACGAATTAGGAGTAAAAAGATGACAGTGTATTACGATTGGAAGCAAGGTAGCATAGCGATTAGATGTCAAAACAAATATTTCATTAGGCTTGCTCAAAGGGAAGCGATTGGAAGGTGTAAGAAGTGAGAGATAGGATGTAAATCTCTACGAAAAAATAATAATAATAAAAATGGAAAAATAACAAAAACGCAAATGTGGAAAGCGGTGAACAATGCAACAAAGTCGTAAAGAATTATAAAGTCCAAAAATAGTGAAGAAAGAAGAGTGTATGCGTGTGAAGAGGAAAACGAGATTATACGAAGCTGGTGTGAATTTTTAATAAACTACGGGAGAAAAAGAGCCCGCAAAATCGAAATATTGTGTGATGAACATAGTAACAAGAAGACGAGAAGTAAAAGTGGAACAAGAAACGTGAAAATCAATAGGTTTCGTGTTTAAGTGCAAAGCAAAAGCGGGTGAGCGGGATAGTTATAGAACAAAATAAAGTTGAAAATGGCGACAAAAGACGAACGAACATACGAACGAATACTATACGAAAACGACTACGATATGACGATGAATTAAGCTGTGAATGACGCTAAAAGTTGCCAGATCTTTGTATTCTACATAATTGTCAAATATAATGGATTTGCATCTAAATACAAGAAATTTTGTGATTTATTGGGAGTTTTTAATGCTTCGAGATTTTGCAAATGTAGTATTTAAAAGTGGCTAAATATTTATGTTAAAAGATTTCTTTATCTTTGGTGCCGACAATTAATTTTCATTTCTCTTTTATTTCCTTTATGTGCCTTTATACTTTCGTTTGCAATTCATTAAAAGTTAGATGGAAAAAAGTAAAAACCAAGAATTGGCTCATATACTTAAATATATTAACCATGCATTAAAAAGAATAATAAAATAGATATATCCTATATACCCCATAAATAATAAATACGACCACATATTGTTTTCGTATCCAAATAAATGCATTTCTATATATTACATCTGGCATTTCTATAATGGCGGGCGAACTACAAGCGAACGAACGACGTGAAAAATCCATTTTCTAATTATTCCGAATTCCTCTTTGGCAGCGAATTCCTTCGTGTCTAGCATTGCGTTGCACGACTGAAAAGTTGAAAAAGAAGCTGAAAAGTTTAGAAAACTCTGTTAAAAACTCGAAAACACATAGAAACAACAACAAGTGTTAAAAAAGTGAACAAATAATGACGCGAAAATTATAAGCAAATATTTTCTGCGCAAAAAAACCTCCAGACTTTACGCATATTCGTACAAAGTGCAAAACATTCAAAGCCATTTGTGTTAAAAAGATATTGTGTTCGGCCAGTAGCGCTGGGAGTTACGATTTGTACAAAAGAGTTGCCTCCTAAATTGGTAATATTCATATAATAGGTGATTTGGGTTTCGCATTGGCAATTAAAAAGTGGTAGCTATTTTTAGTAAAAAATTTTGGACGCATTGCATTCGGTAGCAAGAAGTGAATCTGCATCCCGTGGCTTCAAAGAAAATTATGCAAAAAGACAACCCTCGATTGCAGCGACGTAACAGTTGGCAGTGTAGTTGAACAGAGAATACGTCTAGATAGTTGTTAATTGGTTGTCAGCGAGGGCAGAATTTAAGGGAGTAGAGGAAATTGATAAAAATCAAGAATCGGCAAAAGGCAAGTGCGTGCCATGTTTATAACAAGAAACCGGCTTGGTTATTATTTTTAATTATACTTCCTCACTTTGTTGAAATATACATATATATTTTTATCAAAGCATGTACTATAATTTACTAAAGGCTGTGCAATAAAAATATACATTATTTTCGGCGCTTTTACACCATTAGACTTTTGATTTATGTGGTCACCATCCCGATAATTGTTTACATTAAAATTTCAATGGAATTTTTAAGTGTTGTATTTAAAAATAATATCCATGAATTGCTTAAATGGTATTGAATACCTGCTATTATTTTGCGTATTTATTGCGTTGGTAGCAAGGCAAAATATAGAGAAAACTCTTAAACCATGCATAAAAAGCTATTCTATAATACCTCTTTTATCAATATTAGTAATAATAAATCATTATTTAAACTACTATGTAATTTTAGAAACTTTATACAAAAGTTTAACGCAACAGTTTGTAACCCTATTTTATTATATATTCATTAGCCTACAAGGAATATTAATAAGTGCCTTAAAATAAAATCAATTGAGTGTTTATAAAAAAATGTGATGAATTAATAAGTGAATTTTTTCAAAATGTCTGGGTTCTTTTTATGATAATTTTTAACTTGACGTCTCACCACAGTTTTTACTTTGACGCCAATGGTTTATGAATAGCAAATTTTAACCACTATATCCATAAATCGTATTAAAAAATAAATATTCTTTATTAACATTAATAGGACAGTCATATTTACTGGAAGAATTAGTATAGAATATAGCAGTTATTTATCACTGTTGTAATGGTGTTATAAACTCGTTGTATATACAGCAGCCAGAATGTGGTTTACGTGATTAACTTTAGGCGGGACACAAACGCCATTCAAAGCGAAGCTTTACTTCATGGATTCCCTCCTTGGAGCAAAACGACCACACATAGCTGACTGATATGATCTATGAAATCAACTTATCTGACCCTCCCTCCCAGTGGTCCGATCATGTTCAAACATCTTTTCTCATTGACCTTCCGTTAAATGGCTTCTAATTTTGAATTGCATCCCAGTCTAAGAAACGTATTTAGTATTGAATGTCTTGATATAACTTGATATAACTTTTAAGTCGAAATTAGCTTAGAACTTTGTATTTGTCGATATAATTTACTTTTAATACAACTAAACCTTTCGACTATCGGCTTAATTTTTAATGATGCATGTAATCTGTTTTAAATTGGTAATTCACCTGAAAAAAAATCACATACAAAAAATTTACTTTCAATTAATTTTTTAGTCAAACTAACCATTAATTTATTATGAGATATGATTATTAATATATGTATATTTGTTTAACTTTTTAGCAGAACTAAGAGTATAATCCAAGTTTAAAGCTGGATTAGCGAAAAAGTGGGACTATTGCGAACGTCAAAATGGCATCGAGAAGTCACCAGTATTTTAGTTTGCGTTGGAACAATTACCAAAACACCATGACTTCGGTGTTCCAGCAATTGCGAGAAGACTTATCTTTCGTGGATGTGACCCTTTCATGTGAGCATGGTTCGCTAAAAGCACACAAGGTAATTTAAATAAAATTTTATAAATTTAACTATTTATTATATAAAGGCGTCAGCATTGATCTGATGATGACTGGAAAAACCCTCGATTTTGGGTTATGATATATGTATGTATGTATGTACATACATATGTAGACAATGTAGATGATCTACCAGTGTAGAAATATACGTGGCACATACTTAAATTGAAACTGATTTCTTATGTTGTTGTTGAGCGGAAAAATTCTGAAGTTGACAGTCCTATAAAAATCCTGGTCCGTTCGGGATTCGTAGATCCGACTGTCGTGGGAACGGAACTGATTTATTATAGTTATAGTGGACTAAAATATAGATTGCATCAATATTAAATATTTTAAAAATTAAAAATTTAATATGATTTTGTAATTTAATAATAAAAACGATTGATTTGCTTGAATTAGAACTTTTTAGCGATGTATTTATGTATATATGTAGCTGGAATAGGCCCAGATTTTTATTTCAACAATGCGAAAGCATTATGATAGGTTAACAATTGTGGTGTTAATAAGAATTTGAAAATTTACACTCACATTTAGAGATAAAAATAATAAATAAATTCCCATAAAAAAATAATTTTGAATTATAAAAACGCAGAAAAAGAAAATTCCGTTCCCTTTCTAGGTGTATGTCTTATAACATAAAATAGTGTAAAAAGATTTTTATTCTTGATTTTGTGCGGTCAGATTGCAAGACAGCTATGTCATATATACATACAGATGTATGTACATATGTATATATGACATAGCTGTACATATGTATATATGACATAGCTGTCATTCAAAATGCAGTCCTTGTATAGAATTTTTTTAGCAAAATCGACTCAGCTCATCGGTTTTGAAATTTTTATTATATTCAATTATAAATAATTATTACATTTGTATGACTATCTAACCGTAAATTTTTCGTTAGGTTGTTCTATCCGCCTGCTCATCATATTTTCAAAAACTGCTTTTGGAAAATCCCTGCAAACATCCCACCATCATACTTCCCGGCGATATTATATTTACGGATTTGAAGACCATTATTGATTTTGTTTATCGCGGCGAAATTGATGTCACCGAATCTGAATTGCAGGTAAGCGTTAAAATTTTATTGATATTATTATTTTGGAATTCGTACATAATACGCTAAAGATGTCCGGAAAAGAAATTAAAAAACGTCAAAAAACATGAATGCTCAACAAAGGAAAGATATCGCATTTAAAGTATGAATACCATTACTAATGCGATCAAAAGGTTCCACAGTATTTAACGGTCATAGGATTGTTTAAAATAATCTAAAATAGACACCATAAATTGTATAAAACAGTATAATTTAGTGGCTTATGTCGCAAAAAACCGTAAAAAAAAGCACAATAAACATTGGCTCTTAGTTTATTGTGCTTTAATATTTTTAGTATTTAATCTATCATGAATGTTTAGTGCTATGGAAATCTACCATAATTTACTGTGTCAAAGTATTTTTCTCACTGCATATATGTCTATATAAACTCAGTCAATCCTTATGGTGATAGTGAGTTACTTGAGTTCTGTCTAATGAGTGTACTCAAACCAGCATACTTTTCAAATTCGAATTCGAATATCAAGGACACAAACCGATGAAGCTTTTATGCACGCGCAGAAATATATGCTTCGCCGACCATTGTATACATTTGTTGTGTTTAGGAATATTCATTCCTTTATTCGTCCTTTTGATTTATAAATTGTCTCTTATAACAAGAAACTTGAATGGAAAGTTTGTATAACATTTTCTTCGAAGCTTATAAGTACAAAAATTTTAAGCCAATCCTTGAAAGCTTTCAGTAGCTGAAACTTGCTCCACCAAACTTGGTAAGCTTGTTGGTAAAACTTGCATTATATCAGTTTAGCATGAACCAATGTAAAAAAGCAAAATTTGTTTATAATAAATGAAATGTTCAATTCCACATATAAGTTGATTGAATTCAACTTAATATTGTTTACCTACTTTTAGTGTAATACTAAGACTTCATTTCGGATGACCATTATACTCTTACAAACTAAGAAATATAAAATTCTACTACAAAACATAGTAACTGGTGCCACAATGCATCTCTGAAATATAATACAAAAAAATCTGAAATCTTTCTTGTTTTTTTCTCTTTAAAGTTGTAAAGAGTAAATAAAAATATATTTTTATACCTCCATATCCTGAAATTTATAATTTCATCGTTACATGGTTTTGAAAAGTATAGTCTAGTAATGTTATTTTCTGCAATAAATGCAACACTGCTAGGAAACCAATTATATCCAATTGGACTTCCTATTGTTATGATTGGTAAAATAGCAAACAATAAGAATATACAAAATATAATAAATAAGCTTCTGCTTTAGTTTTTATTCCAAAATAAATTCGAGACTTTCCAATTAGAGTTCGAATGAGGAATTAATCCGTTTTTTGGTTCGTTCAACGGTCCTAATCAATTACGGTTTTAGCACTATTTTCAACAAGTTTTCAGCAAGGTGATCAAAAAGTTCCTCATTCTGCTTCTTTACACGTGTACGTTGTAAAAAATATTACATTAACTTTGTACAGATTCTAAAGTGATTGCGTGTTTGCTATATCTGCTCGTACAGTTTTATCGCAAAAATTTTAGAAGTATACCGTTGTATCATTTATGAAAAAAAAAAATCATAAAAATCTACGGAAGTGGGTTCAAACATAAGTAAAACTGAGTAAGTCCTATAGGTATATCTTAAACTCATTCGTATTAAGTGCAGGCGGCCAAGAATTTAATTTATTTAAACTTTTATAATATCCAGCAAATTTTCAAGAGCAGTTTTTACGTCTAAAGAAAAAAAAAAGTTGTGGACCGAATTATTGCCAGAGGCAAATTAAATACACGATTGCAAATTTATTGACAGCATATTTACTACCTAGACGTTCCATATACATATTTGCTATTTTTCCTCTTATGTAAAGCCATATAGCACAAATTTATCTTTACCACTGATAACTGATAATAACAGTACTTTTCTGTTCTATTTACAACAAAAACTCCTTTGCGGCGAGAAAATCAACAAATGAAATGCTAATTCAGATATTTAATATTATTAAAAAAGTGTATAAAGCCAGTAGATAAAAAAATGTAAATTTCATAGTAAAAAATTTAACTAAAATCACATTTTATATTATATCTCTTAAGAAGATAGAATTTCAGTGTCAAATTATATAATACATAATTATATCTTAGTATAAGTGTGCTTAATACCTAGTACTTGCCCATACAACTGAATTTTCTCAAAAAAGTTGATATTAGAGGAAAGGGCTACAAGTGGTGATTTGTAATTGTTATCATAAAAAAATGATATTTTTGGCTAGGTTATTATTTATAATCATGTTTTTAGTAATGCCAGAATTTCTGAAACGAGAGAATCCACTTTAAAGGGTCAACTAAAAAGAACAATCTGATATTCTATTTTTCTATTCTAGTTCTATTTTTGTTTTTTGTTATGCAGATAATTTTATGCCTTATATCATTCTGCTGTATGTTGTCTTCGATTTAATAGAGCGTTGCTGTTTTAATGGCATAGACCTTTGTTTTAACAAACACACAGAGAAAAGAAAGATATAAGGTCCGAAAATGCCACAATCTTCACCTAACGGTCAATATTTGGGGATGCAATTACTTTTCTTGACCCGCACGAGGATTTGACTCGCCCTGCTGCTTGAGCCATATGTAAAAGATTCATTTCTGGCCACTCCCAAGGGAATGGCGCTCAGAAAACTTTTCTCACTAATATGAACTTCTGCACATGGCTCCATCCGCCCGGCTATAACCGTAAGCGATGTCTACGCCAATAAAAAAATAGCGATAATATTGTTTGTGGACAAAGTCATTTAGCCAGAAATGGCCCTTATATGAAAAGATCCTGTTTTGCGCAAAGAACTCTTACAGTAGCCACCGGAGAAAGTGAATTTATCAATTTCCAAGAGTTGTACCAAAGTGAAACCTGACATCGCATACCTTAAGATTAAGATAAATACGTGCACCGTCGTCTCCTAAGTTACAACGACTAACTTAGCCCCAGCATATTGATAAGTTCCAATATACTGCTAGGTGATAATATTTGAAACATGGATGCAAGAGAAAACCTTACTGAACACCCTGTCAAAATAACGTCATTCGATGAAAACCTTGAAACCGTTACAAATTTACAATGACGAATCGGACTTTTCATATTAACTTTTATAAGAGAAATTAATTTTAAAAGCAATGCTTTAGCAGCAGAATAACATTATCTATTGAAATCATTTTGATGAAAGCAGTAGAGTATTTGGACAAACAAAGTCAGAATAATTTCCAGTAACCTATTGGTTGTACTCGTGGGCAGAACCACTTTGCGGTCACGAAAATATTGATGATAGTAGAGACTTCGCTGAATAAGTTTCACAGAAACTCAAAATGCGATATGTTTTTGTAGTAAAGCATCCTTCAAGCACTGCAAATAGGTCGCGATAATCCATAACTGGTTTTAACTTTTTTTTTATTAATTAATTTTAATTAATCGAACTACTTATATATTTTATAAAATTGATTTTATGTGGATTTTTCAATATAAATCTTAAAATTTTTCATACACATCTCTATGTGTTCTCTGTTTAGTATAGGGACTCAAATGGGCGAAGATCTTCAATGATTGGCTATACAACTTTGTGGTACATTTTAACTTTTTTACTCAAGCCGGCGATTACTTTTTCCAATTTAGTTGAGTTTTGTTTTGTCCTAAACAATCATTCACGAGTCAAATTTATTCGTGATATTTCATACTGAAAAATTCAAGGAAAAAGCAATATGTCTGAAGCAAGTATTACATATATGTATGTATGTGCATTTGAATAGGTTTTTTTACGGTTCTTTCATTTTCCCAAACCTAATAGGTAAGGGTTTCACATCTTCAAATTATTAATTAGATGGAACTTATAATATTATTCTATATGAATTCTCAAGTGGTTATCAAGAGAACTCACTACCTTTTTCGAACAATGCAAATATTTATATAAAAGGTCCAATTTTCGTTTCCTGATTCTATATGTAATAGGGTAAAGAGAGGACAACGGCTGTTGGGTTCTCCATTTTTTATAAATTAAAAATGTATTAAAATATAGTATTGTTTAGTTACTAATTTTTTTTTCATTACTTTCATTTTTAGGTATAGAACTCCTAATTCATACATTTTTCAATTCATAATAACTAGAATAACTTCTAGTATTCACATTCACAACATTTAGTTCTAAATGTTTTTAAATACAAATATACACAAATTAATATTTTTATAATTTTATATATATATATATATATATTGGACTATATGTATTGTAGTGTATTAATTAAATAAATATATTTTGAAATATTTTTCAAATTGGTAAGTGAGTGAAAAGAAAAAATATAATGTGTTAAAAGACTAAAAAGTCAATAAGAAAAGAGCAAATAATACAGTCCGGACAGTTTTATCTAACGATATTTTTTGAGTTTGTATTAAATAAAGCGTTGACCTTGTTAAGTGTCACATGATCTAGAATTCCTATATTTTTAAGTTTGGTGTGTCAAAAGAAGTGTATATACCAGAAACAGATACATACGCATTAGCAATTTAGAAGAAATTTTGATTTTTTTCTTTTAGGTGGTTAATGAAGTATAAAGTATACATATTATATATGTATTAGAGCGGGGCAATTTCCATTTTATCAAATACATTAATTTTTTTTTATTGTGGATATTGAGAGAATAATCAATACTTTATTTTGTTTGGTGGTGTGAAATTTGTGTGTGTTTTCCTTAAAAGTACTTGATTTTTATCGTTCGGTTTGTATGGCAGCTATATGTTATAGAGATCCAATTTCTACAATTTTTTCGGAGACAATAAACTATGTCAAATTTCGTTAAAATATCTTGAGAAATAAAAAAATTTTCCTTACAAGTACTTTCTTTTGATCGTTCAGTTTATTTGGCAGTTCTATGCTATAATCAATCAACAATAATGGAGAATACTTAGTAGCTGGGACGAAATTTGAGATCAAGCTGATGTGGAAGCACAATCTGAAGAGCTCGGGTCCACTTAGGGGATATCACCTCGCCTCAAGCATTGTTGTTACACAGAGCTAGTCAAGCTAATTTTACTTTACAATGCACTGGTGTGGTGGACCGCTATGAACAAAGTATCCAACAATCGACTGCTTACTGAATAAGTAAATGAAATACGAAAGTCTCTAAAATCGATATGCAATGAAATTTCCGAAAAAGCTGACAGTCGTTTTGATCTGCGAGAAAAAAATTTATAAAATGTACTATGCATACATAAACGCCAAGATGATGTGTAAGAGCCTCTCAAGAACTCGTCTTAAGTATCGAATAGCTACGTAGTGTCATAAACCTACATTTGTAGAAAGTCGTTAACTTTTCAAACAAATTTGGTAATTATAATACTTAACTCGTTGGGAACTTATTAAAAATCTACATATTTTCAAGATATCTGCGAAACTTTGTTGTCGTTTCTAGAGTCAAAAAACAAGGTACAAATGTTTACGTAGTATGGTGCTCTTTGATTTTTCACATTTATTTTACTGCTGCCCAAGGGTTTTCTGGCTGTTCAAAGCTAATATCCATGTTTTAAATAGTTATTTCTGATGTAAGGCTATTTTTAACATTAGAGTTTATATTGATTTTTTGTGTATATGGGATAATTGCTTAATAGGAAAAAATCTATTTTGGAGGATATCTTTTGCAGTGCCTTTGTTTTACCGTGAGATGATTTTCTAATAAGACCGGCATGCTTCCTAGAATTTCTGAAGCATTATTTGTATTCTAAACTATATTATACATATATTTTGAAGTCACTTAGCAACAGCTAACATAATTAAAATTCCATTGGTGTTCGTGTTTTCCAATTAATCAATACTCCCATTCGCTGTAAAAAATTGTTTAATTAATAAATATTTTCAAACGATACTTTTTTTTAGATATTGTATGCACATACACATAAACATACAACTAACATATGCATACATAAATTATTATTTTTTCTTTGTTATACTTAATAAAGACCTCAAAGTGTAGCGTCTTGCATGAGAATTTATTTGATATCGAGATTTTCTCGATAGTGACATAATTTATTTTGTAAAACAGAAATTACTTACACGCTCAATATTACAAATGAATTGCAAAAAGCTACAGAAAAGAACAATTAAAGTTCTTGTCGCCTTCAAGGAAAGGATTATTATTTTTCTGATTCTTGCAATGGTCAAGAAAGAAAGCCCTTGCAATTTCGTATTTACGGGTATACACAAGCCTATAGGTATTTACATTTTTTCGTGCGTACGTACATATGTGTATGTGCATAAATTTGAATATTTAGTATTTACTCCTTTGACCATTTGATAAGGTGTGGTGGTAGTAAGTCTTGCTTCCAGCATCGCCACAGTTTTTTACACACACACTTTTTTACATACATATGTATATGCCTTATGTAGTACGTATGTATGCCTGTGTGTGCATATATATTTGTATGTAATGGGATACAGACTTTTTGAAGAGTTCGTTCGTTTCTGCATCTGCGTTTTTATTTAACTTGCTTATATTTCACTTCACTGTATGACTGCAAACAGACGAACCTTCGATGGCAGACGGTTAGACCGGCATACTATACTCGCACAAACAATCGAATGCCGATCCAAGTTGTTGGGCGCGCTGATATTATGGTGTGGCAATGGTGTCGCGGAATTTTAACCATGCTCCAATAGTCAGACGCTAGTCGTCTTTGCCGATGCTCGCACTTTCTATCTCCTTCTACCTTTTCGTTCCAGTCAGTTCGTTGGTTTGTTTCATTTATTCGCTGTTCCATTTTTATATTGCAAAATTTTTTCTCCTTTCGATTGCCGCCTGCCCCAATGTTGTTGCCTGCCTGCCTGCTTGCTTGGTGGCTTGCTTGCCAGTCAGCCCCCCAATTTGACCCTTCTTAAGGGTGACTCTCGCGTCTCTAGTCGAATCATCATCTTCTTTCTCTTCCTCAGCAGAAGTAGCCGAACACAGCCACACACACACATATATATATATATATATATATATTGAGAAGCAAACGACATTTGAGTATATGTGCCAGCAGAAGGTTTGTTGTAGTACACTCATGTGCAGATAAAGTTACATATATACTCTGTGTTTGTGTTGATTTTTTTTAAAGCTTCTGCTCAAGTCCTGTCGTGTGCTTTTCAGTTTGGCTGAGTATTAGTGTTTTTGTATGTATTTATAAATTTTTTTCTGCTAATTTTTATTCTCTCTAGGAGTGTTTTTGTTTTTGGTATTTCCATTTTTATTTTTATTTTTTCTGTACTGCAATTTTTTCTTTGTACAACCTTTCTTTTCTTCAACCAAACGTACGGGATACCCCAGTTGACCGACCGCAATGACGTTTGTTATTGCAACAATATGTATGTGCAGATATGTTTGTGGGTTTGTACATTTATGAGCGAGACTAGCAGGAAGAGCTGATTTGAGGAGAATTGCTAACTGCTAACTGTGGACTGTAGCCGCACTATGCGGGGAAAAATGTATCCTTGCGCTGACATTAATTAATAACTCAAAGTGAGAAAGCGCCGTTTTTTGTTTTGGATTTGGCTTTTTTTTTAAATATTATTAATTAGGTTTTTTTTTTTAGTAAAGAAGAAAGTATTTTATAAATAATCCATGTATTAGAATCTTATATTATGTTTATATTAACGGATTATATACAGTTAGAAGGCCGAAAAACACGAATTTTCCAGATTTTTTCTGAGAGAATTTTTAAATTATTGATCCAAAAATGTGTATACATATTATGGTATCTTTTAAAAAAATATTTATTTGGAAAGGAATTACAGCTGATCTCCGGGAGCCCCCTTCAAAAAAGATATTTTGCGGTGACTATGATATTTCTGAACTGGATCCTCTGAAACGACAAAACCAAACAGATTTCGTTAAAGTAATACTAAATCTAGTAAAGCAAATCGAAGGAATAAAACAAATTAATTTTTTTAACAAAATGGCGGTTTCTCAAAAAAAAAAAAAACGGGTTTTGACCAAAATTTTCGGTCTTAAATTGTTTATAAAAAAGATATTTAACGATAAGAAAAAATCTTCGTTTAATTACTAATAAAAAGCTCGTGTTAAAAATTTGAGACTAATCGGTTTAATTAATTAAGAACCAATTTTTTTTATTGCTCTCTTCGCTAGTCGGGTCTACATAACTTCTTCACACTTAATTGGAGCATGTTTTATGCCGCTAAAACAACAACGAGAAGTTGTTACAATTCAAAATGAGCGCTTCAAAATTAAATATTTTAATTTTTTTATAGGATTGACATTACAAAACTGTCTGATCCCTTAATTATAAAACTTATATTAATCAGCTGGACTCAGTTACAATCCGACTTAAGATTTTAAAAACAAAAAATTTGTTTCAATAAAAGTAAAGATTTTTCGATCTATATATTTTTTTTTTTTTGGAATCAAAAGGACAACCTTAATGGTATTAAATGGAATTCGAGCTAACCAGGCGTATAAAAATAACTTTTTTCAGTTGTACGTTCAGAAACCATAAAAGTTGCTTAGAGATGACATTTTGCATTTAACGATATATTGTTAAAACAACCATCGATAATAATTAGTATGCGTTTGTCGAATATGTTAAAGCAATTATTTGCTCAAAGTAGGTCAAATTCACAAAAATATGTGATAATGTCTCCGTCTGGAATATTATCGGAATATTTTCGAACACACTTAAACTTGCTATTCCCTGTTCTGATATTTGTTTTATTTTTTTTTTATTTTAATTTTTTTTTATTTAATTTTTTTAATTTATTTTTTTTCTGTTTTATTTTCTTTTATTTAATTTTTTTTTTTTAATTTTCAAAATCGTCATATATTGTCACTGTATATAATTCGAAGTTAAATTAATGATTGTTTTTAAGTGCCAATTTTATAAATATGTAGTTTTATTAAAAAATACTAACATGCAGAGCTTTTCATCGTTTTTAAAATTATACTTTTTGAAAAGAGTACTTCACGATTCGTTGTTTTTTATAACCGAAACAAATTTTTTATACCATATTTGTGTATTTAAATAATAAATTATTTAAAATTTTCATAACAAATCGCGCTTTGTAAAAATATACATATAAAATCCAATATTTCGAATAGAATTTTTTAATAAATTAAAAGCTTAGTTATACATAAAATTTTTTTTTTTTTGTTTATCACTTTTCTTTTTTTGTTACTTTTGTTGTTTTCTTTTTACAAAAATAATAAATTTTTATGTCCTTAAAATACCTTTTTTTTACGTTTTTATAGCAAAGATGTTTTTTATTATATTATGGGCATATGAAAAAAGTATATCTTTTAAGCTTTCAGCAAAAATTAGTTTTATGTTGGGTTCGAATATAAGCTTACTTTTACAATATAAAAATTCGCGTCAAAATAAATTAAAACCACATATACTAATCAAAGCAATCTAATTCGATAAACCGATATTTTTAGTACATTTCAATTAAGTTTGGTCAATATATTTGCAACATACGGCCCACTGTACCTCAAACTTGTCTCATTCTTGGCGGAAACCCCTAGCAACTTTGATACTTTCGTCTGTGTTGGTGCGTCAAAAGCGTTTTTTCGTCGAGATTTCAATGTGTGCTTGCACGTGTGCGCGTGTGTGTGGACAAATGAATGAATATGTATGCAAATACCTTGCACATATATACAAAGGCTCATTCATATATTCGTATGTATGTAAGTATGTATGTGCATGTATAAGAATGTATGTAAGCCGAGTTCTTTGCCAACTACTTTTGTGTATATGTATGTATGTGTATATCACTGCTATTGTCATGATTATTGTTGTTATACTGTAGTTGGCATTTTTTCAATTTTTTCTCTTGTATGGCTTCCTTCGTCGGTTTCCCCATTAACCACCATTCTTCTTGCTCGCTTGTTCATTTCGGTTTCTTATGACTTTGCTTTCATTTTATGCAACCACTGAGGGTGGCTGCCACAACTCCCACCACCTGACCGTCCGTCCGTCCGTTCGCTTGCTCATACATTTCTTTGCCCTTATTACAATTTTTCTCTACGTTTGCATGCTCACATTGCCGATGTTGTTGTTGCTGCTACTGTTGTTGGCTTTGCCTTCTCAATTTTTATTTTCTGTGCAGAATTTTTTAAAAAAGTCGCTGTTGTTTGGTTTTCTTTTTTTCGCTTTTTTTTCCGTAGCCCGTTGTTTTTTAATCTTAACTCAGCATAGCAATGATTGGGGGAGGAGAGGGGGGTGGTGGTGCGGTCTTATGTCTGAGTGAAATGAAAATATAGTTCCGTTTGTGTCGTGTGTCCAAGAAATAATGTATAGAGCAGGGTGAACGGGCGGGCGGGGGGCGAACGTGCGGGCTTGGAGAAAGAAAAACTCTATTGAACAAAAAAAGTAAATTAAATGCGAGAAAGAAAAAATAGCAACAACAGTAACAGCTGCAGCAACTACAAGACAGTGTGTAAAAAAATGCTGTAAAAAACAATTGGTGAACGCGTTTAATGTTTTGCAAGTATCATATAATACTAACTATACGATGGATGAGTGTGTATGTGTGGGTGTGTGCATGTAGGTGTATTTATGCATTGTTGTTGTAGTCCCTTGTATGAGTATTATGTCCAGGTTCACGATTTCAGTTAGTTTTCCACCCTCACCGATTAACTGTAAATGCATGCACACTCATACATTTATAAGCTTTTACACCCACACACACACACGCACTCATGGACACATACATATGTATATTGCATTGCTGGTCCCATATTTCACTTGGGCGCTGCTTGAATGAAGACCTTGAGTCAGTGAAATTTAATTGTACATATTATGAATTGGAAACTTATGTAATTCGGTGAAGTCATAATGAATTGTGGCGAAAATATCCAAAAATTCCGTTCAATGCAAATGAAGCGTACGTTTTGATTAATTACTCGGTGTATTATATACAAAATAGCAATCATGTGTATATGTATATACATATGTGTGTGTGTATTGTGTCATCATCGCTATTAGTTTGTCTTAATATGAAACTGCGTGTGTTAATTACTTACATATGTTTTATATACAGGTGCACACACATACACACGCCGCTATATATATGTGCATGTTTTTTTTTTTTGTCTTTTTTTTTTGTAGTTAGCAACCATTGATTCGCTCCACTGTGCTATCATCCTTCCACTTCCGATACGTAGATGGTCAGACACATTGGCAGACCTGTGTAAATGAAAGCAAGATGGAAGCGAGCGAGCGACCAGCGCCAGAGCCGGAGCCATAGCCAGTGCCAGCGCTAGAGCCCGGTCGGCGAAGCGACAACTTGTGTCATTTGTGTTTTTGTTTCAATTTTTTTCTGTCTTCTCTTTCGTCTCTTTGACTCTCGCCGCTGTCGTATATTTCGCCCATGTTTCGTTAACTTGCCTTTTTCTTTATACTCATTTTTTTACAAAACTTTTTTATGTATTAAATGAGCGAGTATATGAGCCGTTTTTTTCCCGGACTTTTTTCCACTGGGCGCTGCTGGTTTGAGGATATACGGGTTGCTTGCTGACTAGTTGCAGGCTCTTGGCCTATTGGGTGTTTAAATGAATCGCCAGCATACTATTTTTTTCTGTTAGTTTTCTCATTTAGCTGCTGCTGCCTTTTTTGTTTTAAAGGATGAAGTTTCGTTTCGTTCTTTTGTGTTTTTTATGCGTCTTCACCTCTGTCGTCTTGCGAAGTCCGAGCGTACATGTTTTTCGTATACACAACTTCAAGTTGTCCGAAAACTTTTTTTCCAATTATGTATGAAGAAAGTCGGTCCATCTTCCAAGACAGCAGATTCT